TTCCAAATAACACTGATGACAAATTATTATATTTCTAAACTTAATATTTTCATACACATAATTTAGACATCATAGAACTGAATCCTTGGGCCTATTTCACACTTGTTGACATTACAAAGTCCCACACATCACCACACAGCTGTGATTATGAATGACTGGCTCATATTAAGCCGCACGACGTCTTCATGGAGTCTGCTGAGTGTGTTCCGTCGGCTCTGGGGCGCTTACCTTTCAATAACACCGTATTGAAAAAACTACCAATAGATGACTCGGACCAACCCGGGTCTCGGGTGGTGCCAGAGGCTTGTTTCTCCCGAGTTCGGGCTCTCCAACCGCTGGTCCGACCTGTTTTTGTGGCACTATCACAGTCAGCACTCTCTCTACTGGGCCTGAGTGCGCAGGAGGTGCTCAGCGATCCTCTGGGTCCGGAGTATTTGAGCGGCTCCAGGCTGTTGCCGGGCTCCGAGCCAGCGGCGCACTGCTACTGCGGGCACCAGTTCGGGCTGTTTGCGGGTCAGCTCGGAGATGGGGCTGTGATGTATCTCGGTGAAGTGGAGTCTTGTGCACACGGGAGATGGGAGGTTCAGGTGAAAGGCGCAGGAGTCACACCTTACTCCAGGTATTGTTTGCTTCCCTTAACCTCCCAGGACCAGATATGTCCACATATGGTGTCCACATATGTGGACACCACGTTTTGGGTTGTCTAGACCAAAATACTAAATTTTGCTCTACACGAGTTCAGGTCTTAGGAGGTTAATGAACACGTGAATAATCTCAGTTTTCAAACATTATATATAATGTTTGAAAACTGAGATTATTCATATATAAATATATTTTAAAATGTATTTTAGCACATATATTTTTTGGCCATTTTTTGTATATTTTGAAATATATTTAAAAATATATTTAAAAATATATTTTTTTACCGTATGGGACAGACTCATCTCATGGACAAAGTTGATATTTATACATCCGGGACCGTTTTTCTTCTTGCTGAATGATAAATAAGGTCACTTCAGTGAGTGACATTGCAAACATTAGTATAGCTCACGTGAAAGCGTTTACCCGGGCAGAGCTGCTTAAGAGATTAACTGCCTGGCACACATTAAACGCTGCTCAATAACTGTGTGCCTGGTACAAATAAACGCATCCAGCCTCTCCACCTTATTTGATTAGTGTAGGGGTGTTCAATTAAAAGTTAAGGAGGTTAAGCAGAGAAAGTTTCCTCTAATAGAGGTCCAAAATATCATACTATTCCAAAAGTGTTATATGCACAGCAAACATCTGACTGTCAACTAAAAGAAAGAAAGTAGTTATAATTCAGCAGTCTTAATCCATTATTTATTATTATTTTCACACTGACCTGGGGGTAAAGAGCTTTTGAAAAGGTTTTCTTCAAATTAAAAATAAATCAGTAAATAAATAACGAAAGGATGTAGTTTTTCAATCTTTCCTAACCACATTTCTAGCACTTGAAGAAAAACCTTTTTCCCATGGCTTCCCAGTG